GACATTATTTTGTGACATTGTTTTGTAAACAGTTTGCACATGGCATCGTTTCTTAATTTTTACTTTTCTACCGTTCGAAAATGCTTTCCTCACTCTGAAACATCTTTAGATAAATAGATTCAAACATTCAGAAAGATACGAATGTGTTATAGTTGAAGTTGTTTCTAAAAATAGCTATGTCACAGCTGTTTATTTCTGAAAGTATTCATTTTTTAAGTGCACCTATTTCAAAAAGCACAAGTGCTGCAATTGAAGTCATTTCTGAAAGAATCAATATCAAAGTTGAAATCTTTTTTAATAGAAGTATTGACGATTCTCTGAAGGTAGAAATGTTGCGGTTGAAGGTATTTCCAAAAGTTTTAATTGGAACTTATCGAGAAACTTGTATAATTATGCCAACCGTTACCACTATTGATTTGCACGATTTGAATTTACATGTAATAAGTTTTAGGCGCACTTAAATTAATGAACAAAGCAGATAATATATATCAAAGTTGAAATCTTTTTTAATAGAAGTATTGAAAATTCTCTGAAGGTAGAAATGTTGCGGTTGAAGGTATTTCCAAAAGTTTTAATTGGAACTTATCGAGAAACTTGTATAATTATGCCAACCCTTACCACTATTGATTTGCACGATTTGAATTTACATGTAATAAGTTTTAGGTGCACTTAAATTAATCAACAAAGCAGATAACATATTAGTTGGAAGAAGTTGGATACTTAAATGCAAGTGTCCTCTGTATTTGAAATGAGACTGCAGTATACAGGTAAGAACCGTATACAGACATCTTTTTACGAGTATTGCCTTGAATTTATCGTCATTCCTTCTTCTACTTCACTGATCTTTGTTTCAGATAACGAGCCCATCCACACCGAAGAAAAAAGGAGAAATACTGTCTTCGTAAGCACACCGCGAAATTTCGTCCTGAATTCGGTAGGTTTAATATTTATGTCTTCTCCTCCAGCCTGTTTGTCGGTAACATTGTTACGGGACATGGGGATGTACACAACACATTGCGTTGGTACGCGTGGACCGTCGGAGAGCTTCAACGGGAATGAAAAAAAAATTTATTCATTGTATATACCGTACATAAGCTGCACAGGGACGCAATAAGAGCTTCAACTGAATAAAATCGAGCCAACTTGTTTCATTTCAAATTACCGTTCAATATACAGTCAGCGTAAGAAGTATTCGTACAGCAACCAATTTAAAATAAATGGTTCCTGTACGAATACTTATTACACCGACTGTATATTTATACGCGTCCCTTCGAATGTTTTTTAAACTTATCGTTTCAAGTGCATCTTATTACATAATTGTACGATAATTTAGAAAAATGGTTGCTCTAAAAATTGTTTAAATAGTGATATCAAATTTTTATCTACATAGTATGTAGGATTTAAAATGATTTTAAAGATTATTATTGGGGTAGTAAATTACTTTACTTGGTCAATCATTATTACTTGATTCATTTTCGTGATGAAAATTAATAATGGAGGTACAAATCATTTACATAGAATATTATTAAATAAATGAATTAAGTTATATCAATAAAGATATTAAAATTATAAATAATTTTAATAGGAGAATAATAGATGTATACAGAATATTATTAAATAAGTAAATTATACGTTGGTCTTATCAGCTAAGTTAGCTATTGATATTTTATAAAATGTGCCTATTTAGGAAATGTAGCTTCGTTCTTCTGGTATGTGAAGTTCAGGACGTATTTTCAGAAAAATCAAAATATTACATAATAGAAAATTATATTATAAGAAAAGGAATTCCCAGGGTGTAAAACGACCCATCGACGCAATGACAACCTACCGCTAAGGCCATTAAACTTCTGTGTGACTTCAAGTACGAATCAAAAATATAAATCGGGGAACACATCGGTATGCATTTAAATTTTATGCCTGCCATTCGACGGGCTTGGTCGGCGGAAACACTGTTACGGGAAGAGCCAGAAACGTAAGGCATGTTCGTTGTACTCGGTATTGAGGAAGCTGAGCCCCCGAACTGAACGTGCAAACGGTTTGTCCGGTTTTCGAGGCAAGGAGTTCATCGAACCTTGGTTGCAAGGGATCGATCGCGTACGGCTACCGAACGTGTCGTATGTGCGCAAACGATCATTGATCTGTGACGCGGGACCGCCTACACGTTATCTAGTTTGAACGCTAGAGCGTCGAATAAGACGCGCCTGCCTCGGATCTGGAATGAAAACCCTCTCTGTTATCACTTTCACCGGCGAGTATAATTTTACAGCCGATTTCTGGGCCAAGGTACATAATTCATACCTGTCGCGTTAATCATACGGGATGAATGGTCGCGCTGCATTCCTAAACGTTCAATCCCGCTTCCGTATAGCGAAATTCAATTGAGCCTTCGCTGCGCGATGAAACGCGTTGAAGGTGCGCCATTTTACATGACTCAAAATCGTGGAAAAATAATTGAAAATGTTCGTATTATTTGTTCATGTTGTTTAACGTTTATCTATGAGCAAAGGTATCATCTATTCCTAGAATGGCATTAATTACAGTGACGAAAATATAATATTCTAGTTTGATTACGAGAGCACTGTTTTGACTAAAAAATTATAAGAAGAAAGTGATAATAATGTCTTTGAGGAGAGCTGTCGAACGAACCTTTTTGAGAAAGACACGCTCGTCTTAATTATAACTAAATTTGTCAAGAATTATAATCCAAATAAAACAGTTTTACGATACAATAAAAATGTTTCTAGGACTTTGCAGTACACCATGTGTTCGTTGATGTTGTTGAACAGGAATAAAAATGTAGAGTTTCATTTTTCAGGAATGATTCCTCATATGAAAAGAAATTGAAAAGTCCTGTATCATTCTGCAATCTGAACCTTCGTTGCCTAGATATAAGCAAGCGAAGTTCACTGATGTACGCGCCATTTATATTCTCAGTCAGCTGATTGAGCGCACTCATACGCGAGAAACACGTGACCATAACGTTCACACCCGCACAAATTTTAACTTCTTATATTTCCATAATAAAGCCTTCAATCGCCAAATGGAAAAGGACTGTTTATTTAAATTAGGGCGAAGAATTGATCTTGAAACGATGCTACGCTTATATATTGTAAATTTTATATATTGGGCTAATAATAATATATAATTTCTGGCAAAGAAACAAACATATAATATTTCATGTAATTTCATTCTAGGTGGTATCTTTCGCTTGGCATCTAACATACAAGAACTGAAAACATACAAGATCTAATAAATTGTATCGATTTCGACACTTTTATTCATGAAACAGTCAAAGTTCTGATTTCCTTCGTTAAACGAATTGTTTTAGTTTTATCAAATATTATCTCTTGCCTTATCAAAATCAAAATTGTCCATGTTGGATCAGAATTCGAGTTATGGGAATGGTAGTGTAAAGGAAACAAAAACTTGGTTCGAATGGAATTATTGAGATGGTCATTGTCCACGTTTAAATTTCTTAGTTTATAGTCTTTTGTTGTCGGTGTTTCGCGAACTTCTCCACCTACAGAAAACAATTCCGCAAAAATGTTACCGATGTCTCGTTGCTGAAAAGTCCAAAGAAGCTTGTTAAACGTTTCTTCAATCGATCCTCATCCTAAGGTTTCAGGTTCTTTTCTCCCTTTTTCCTCGTTTTCGCAGCCGAGGCGAACCTCGGGCCATTGTTAAAACTTTTTCGATGTTATTACACGTACGATATGTAAATGCGTCGCCGGGTCCGGTCTTCGACGTCGGAGGACCAGCTCCTCTCTTTTTCTTTCTTTCATTCCGATCCTACTCTCTATTTCTCTTTTATTTCACTCTGTTCCTTCTCTCATCCTGCCAGGGGCGGATCGGATTGACGCCTCGACGAAACGGTCCTGTCTGGAGTTAATTGCAAATTAATTGGAATTCATAGGAATTGTCGTTGCTTAATTGATCGAAGTGATTTATCTATCACGGGCTAAATTTTATTCGAATGAATCATAACAGATGAGCGGAACATGTAACAATTTATTCCTGGTGTTTATTAGATTGAACAGTTCAATTCTTAAGTATCGTTCATCAATTATTTTATTCTGTAATTGAAATTTTTGTTTTTATTTAACAATTAATGAACGAATAGCCGTTTAACTTTTATTGATTATATATAAAATTCTTATTTAGCTAGAGATTTCGAACGAGGATTAGAAGATAAATACCTTTATTGTTTAATAATAAATAATTAAATTATGATCTGAATTATGCAACCAAATTATGTCTTTCATATCGATGGAATAGAGGTTTTCGAATTTTGATTAAATTTTTTAGGATACCTTTTGATTGTAACAGTCATCAGATTGACATCGTTAAATGTATTTGTAAAAATATTCTTTATTTCCTCTGCCAGTTACATAGAGGAAATTGTGTATATTTATTACTACTCGGAGTAAAAGTTGCTCCGATTTCTATCCAAACATTTCCATTCAGTATTTGATCTAAGATTTGAGCCTTATCTAGAAGCGCGCCTCAAACAAAAATAAATGAGCTTGAATCGAGCGAGAACATTGCAAAGAAACGAGAAAGTTATTAGCAGAGCAATTATGCAAAACAGAAAAAGAAAAAACATCGACTTAATAGTAACGATTAGAAAGTAGACTGTGTTAACAGAAATGTTTACAAGATCACAACAGAGTTTTTTTTTTGCACATACTGTGATTTGAGTTAGAAAAATATAAACGTTTTAATAAATCGATAGACAAGGTGTAAAATTAGTATCACAGATTGTGGAGTTACAGTTTTTTAATGAGAAATTCTTTTCGACATACATCGTATCATATTTTCAATTTTAATTTCAATTATAGCAACCCTGCTATATTATCCCCTATCGTACACTTGAATATTCTAAAATGCTGACAATACAAAACAGTTCAAACATCCGTTGAACACGATGCACGTGGCAATTACTGTTACGTGAATGTAAGATCATCAAACGAATTACTGGAGCTTCTACTAATTCTTAACATACAATAAAATTACAGAATCACTCAAAATTCAAGCCTGTGGCAAAATAAAATAATTTCCATTTCTTCTTGTATCAGAATGTATCCAGTGTCCAACAGGGGAGCCTCGATACATTTTCTAGAAAATGTACTCCAGCTCCGAATCCTTCCTTCATCGATAAATAGCCTCTTCTGGGAGTTGCGTGAATCCGCTCCTGTTGTATGCCACTACCACCTCGGCATCGTCATCACCATCTCCCTGGCTCCTTCGTAACGGATAGGCTTCACCTCCAGAACGGAACTCCAGTCTGCTTCCAGTTTCTCCCCGGAGAATGCTCGTCGGTTTAGTCGGAGTTCGGCTCTCCTAACACGCGCTTCGCAGCCACTCCGTCGACTTATCGCGCCGGGGAATCGACCCATGATCTGACAGAAAATATCTTTCAATAACGTCTATCCTCCATCATCGCGAGCAGTGCTGGTTGATTTTCGTTCGATTGCGTTATCCGGTCGCGATTTATCGTCCCCCAAGAACACGAAAAACACCTTCGAAGAGCATCCTGCGGTTAGTGCTCGATTATTTCGCGATATCGATAGTGTTTCCATCGATTCTGCGTCGAGGACCAAAGTACCAACACTCGGAGACCTCGATACCGAAAAGAGATGCGCTGGAAGCAGTGTCGTCGGGATATCAAAGGCAGAGGATGATCGACGTTTAAAAGGTCCATTTGTTATAGTGGTCAATACGGAGATTAATATTGAATCGTAGTTAATCCACGTTTAGTTCGATAGAAATTCGACTGTGATAGTGGCGCACACCGCGATACCCCTGTCTTCACGGTTTTACTCCGGTTTTACTCAGTTCATGCCTCACTCTACTTACGGCTGACCCTGTTCATAATAATTAATGGTGTTAGACTCCATGAATGCCTGCGGACTGGTCATGCTTGGCTCTCGCAGAGAATGGGCTGTAGTTTGTTTGCATTGGCTGCCAATGGAATTATTCTGGAAGGTTTTTTTGTGTTACTGTTGCAACTATGATGTTTCAATTATTACGTCGGTATGCACATTTTTATGTTTACAGTATGAACGTAACTGTTTTTACATGCGTCGAATTCAACAAGTGTTTCGTCAGCTACTCACGTGCAACATCAACATTAGTACGGATGATCTTAGTTTTTAATTCAACGTATTTTTAAAATGTAACGTTTGAATCGTTTGTAATGAAAATGTTCCATGTAACAGTTTTTACAGGAATCGTGTTCAACAAGTGTTTCCAACTGTTGCTCTTGCGCGTGGACACGATATGTAAACATTTTCATATATTAACTCTGCTAACGTATATATTAACAAATTTTGTATGCATGTATGCATCTAGGCTTTCGTATAGTAACTTCTATATATGCAAATACTTTTGTACGCGAGTATATCGAGTTATTCAAACTGTTTCAGACATTTTATTATCATTACATTACTGTTCGAATATTTATTTTACTTTTGATAGAATTATTCGTAGTATAAACAATGTAGAACAAAGCATTGAAGTTTTCCAAAATTTAGCTTTGACAATGAGTTTCAACATTTTATACGTGTCAATGTGCGTACGAAATGTACGAATGTTTGCATTTTGCGTTGTATTTTAGGAGTGGTTTTCCAGAAAATCGTGAAGTTTATCACGATGGCCTCTGTATATTTCAAATATTTAATGAGTATATTCAATAATTCAAATTATTTCTGGAATTTCATTATCATTTCGTTTAGCTCGTGTATTTATTACACTTACAATTATTAATAATATAAAGGATGTGAAATAGGGCATTGATACCATCCGAATGTTGACTTGTCAAGTAGGTTTAAAAATTCCACGTGTATGAATGTGTGCATGCTTCGTATTTCAGAGACAGTTCATCAGAAAATCATGAAATACATTATGGTCACCCTAACACAATTCATTTTATGGAAAAAAATGGACAATTACTCGGTCAATTTAACAATTTTGTGTTTCTTTACTTTCAAACTAGTATCCATATCCTTGCAACCACGTTTCCAGCCTCATCTGCGATAGTCTCTCGCTCGACTTTCGTTGTCCCGATTGCGAACGTTATTATCAAACAAACCGCCACCGGCGGCGATTTTCACTCTTACACGGCACTGAAATCTAGTCAAATGGGCCGACGAGTCTTAATTACCGAGGCGAATCGTGATTGCAGGTGCGCTATTCCTCCGAGCAAAGGGAAGCGGGCGCGTAAGGATGCGCTTACGCAGGAAACGGTGCATGTCCCGGTGACGCTGTAGCGACTTGGATAAAAAGGATAAGAGGAATAAAAAAGACAAAAAAAAAAAAGGAAAACATAAAGGCCATACACAGAGATAACCACGGAAGTACGGATGACGCGATGAGACTGAGTCCGATTATCCTGTCGTGGGCCACGGCAAGCTGGCTAGGTCCAACCGGAACTACGGCGATACGAGCCCAAGCATCGAGGGACTACGAGCTGTCGACGGAATTCTTCCTGGTGCCCAGCGATGTGGCGATGGACAAGAATGGTTTGGCAAGCGTGGCGAGTGTCATCAGCGTTCCAGCGCCGAACAGGACGGTTTCGGTGTTCAGGATGCCTGGGAAAAAGAGCCAGGAGATCGAGGCCGATACTCAACCGTACCCGAGGTCCTTGCTCAGACAACGACCCTGGGCTCTTCCTCTGGCGGCCCTTAGCGCGGCCACGATGCTCCTCATGGCTGGCTTCGAGGTTTTCGTACTGCTCAAGGTCGGTTCGTTTACCTTTACAACATTTTCCAAACTGATCTCATCGCACGTCGGACTCGACGCTGGGGGAATAGTCTAACAGTCGGTGATGATTTCACTTACGCCATTTTCAAATGAAAATAATCCCTTTATTACGACAGTATAATAACTGGTTATCGCGATAACCGTCGTCTAGCAAACAGTCGTTGAAACAACGACGCGTCATTTTGAAATGGCTGAATTTTGGTACAGCGATTAAGTCCATCTTAGTAAGTAACAAAAAAATATTGCCAAACGTTTTGCGCGGAACGTAAGGGGTGCCAGACGCGCACGAAGTTGCATTTTTTGCTCCTTTGTACACCTAATAATTGTCAAATGTATTTGTAATCCATTAGAGGAAAAGAAATAAGCGAATCACTTTGTTAGAAAATACGTGTTCCCGTAGCAAATGTAACATTTTCCAATTCCACGATTACAAAAGTACATAAAGTTGTTTCCAGAGGAAATTCTTGGAATAAGAATTCTTGAGAGTTTCTTTCGAAGGATATAAACCAGTTTTCGTCAACGCGTTGCGCAGCGCGGCGATAAATTGCAAACGAAATTACTTTGGAGTTAAACTAGAATGACCGTTGTAAAATGTAATTTATAACTATGCTACTTTATCGCTGGATATCTAGCGCAAAGGAAATTTCTTTGACACGTGTTGGGGAAAAATGTGGGAAAAAGGGGTCGAATCTGTCGCGTGCAATGATTCGAGACAAATTTTCGCTGTACTATAATCGTTGGCAATTGAGATTCGAGGAAGCGGAGAGTTAATAGAGCTTAGGACGTAATCTGCATCTATTTTTCTTCCTGTAGCACGTGGTAGAGCGTACAGCAGTGGTTCTTAACATTTTTGAGATTGACACAGTTTGAAGAAACATCCATATTACAAAATTAAAACTGTTGTAATTTGGTCAGGATTGTGATTAGATTAATCTAGTGGAAGTAAGGATACACATACACTGGGACTTTGAACAATTATTTGTTGTGTCAAATATGTTTTAATAACGACCTTTCGAAATAAAGCATGAAAGAAAGAAGAAAATTATCATAATACAAAATTGAGATAGGAAAGAAACGAGGAAAGCGAAGAAAGTACTTTTCAAAAATAAATATGTTGCAATTACTCAAAAGAGTCGAAGTTGCTTTTAAATAGTAGGTATATAAATAATCAGAGAATAATTTCTTTTTGAAAGATAAAGTAATATTCTTGCTTTTTTTCGAGTCAAATATTTTCCTCTACTGAATTACGTATTAATAATTTATGAGTGTACAAATAATCTACAAAGGAATAATTTCTTTTTTGAAGGTTAATATAGAATTCGTGCAACGAAGGATTAAATTGATGCCTTCTCTTTATGGAATCGTATTATAGTAAGAATTTTAAAAAATGACGAAGTACAGCTCATTGAATTTGTTGCCAAAGCACAAAGAAGATCGATTGACACAGACGGTTAAGAATCACTGACGTACAAGAATCCGTAGTAATTGTTTTCGTTCGTACTTCGACAAGCTCCAATAACCAGCACGCTCGCAATTTCGCCGAGACCTAGGCCTACTTTGCATGTCGATTACCTATTTCTTGTGCTCGTGTCGTCTGCTCGTATCGATACACTCCATTGAGCAGGAGTAGCCAGGAAAGTTTCCGATACCAAACTCGATATATTTATACCACCTCCGACGCTACCGTTACATTGCCGGCTATCTTCAAACTAATTACCTTCTGTTTCAATTTAGAATAGAACGATCAAGAAGATAATATGTTATCGTAAATGGAAAACAAGCCGGAAACCTAATTGTTACCAAGACCGTGTCTATGTACTTTCGTGCCCTTTACGGATATATGGAAGTTTTGTATCGTTATCGAAACAAATATTAATCTTAAATTTGTTTGATCGAAGCTGTTAGTGTGAACATAGTAATACAAATTTTAAAAGGCATGGATAATAGTCGGGCATCAAGAGGATGCAAAGTTGAGATTTTATTATAATAATTGTACTATAGCGTGTTGTTTTTGTTTTTTATGAAAAGGTTCTGGTATATTGCTCCTTTTCTTCTTAAGCATACTACAACTCTTTTTTGTTTTCTATCTGGTACTCGATTTAGTTTCTTACGTGAAATGGATCATTATTTACTTTTCATATATCAATTCGGTGAGTACATATTGTACAATCTTGTAAAATTTATATTCAAAAATATGGAGTCGAGTAAGAGGTCTACAAGTTTTACAAGAACTTGACTGTAAAAGAGTTAAAACGTTAAAATAAGTAATTGCTTGTTTAACGCTAGAAAATTATTCTTTACAAATGCTACATTAGCTAGTACCTGCACTTAAATTTTTATCTAGATGAAGATTCGTTCATGGCTCAAGAACAAAGCGTTGTTTGTAATTTTTACTGACCTGTAAGAGTTCATTGTTAGACATTCCACTTGGTGAAATTAATCCATGTAATTACCTTAACTTGTTTCTAATCGTACCGTGGCACGCAACAAACTAGGCGCTCTGCATATACTTAGGTGTACCGTATTCGTTATATGTTTCTAATTCGTCAGAAATTAATAAGGCAAAAAGGAGAGAAACGAGACTAAGAGTTAGCCTTGAAACATACCAAGAGGTTACTTTCTGATCGCCGTATTCAGGTTTTCCTCGCTAAAGGAGAAAAAATTAGAACACGCTGGTGTACTCCCATTGAGCATCCCGTGTACATCGTTTTTTCAGAGTTTCATTCTTAGAAAATCGTGAACATCTGAAAGTCTCTCTTTGGTAACAACGAATGCTACTCGAAACGCGTGTTATTTGAAAACTGTACCGACTGGAATGCCATTCGTGATACAATCGAAAAGAGTACGATTTCTTGCTTGGCAAGAAATTCATTTCTTTTCGATCGTATTTGAATTCTTGTCAAGCAAGACATCGATAATCGAAAATGAAATGTCATGTAAAATGTCTTGCTTGAACAAGTTGAACTACAAAATTCCTATGATATATTACATTTGATTACGCATTAACCCACTTATTTCTTTGTAAATCATTTCTTTTTCAATCATGCTTATATTCGTAAATGTTAACAGTGACATAATTTTCATTTTACCAGAACTGTTCTACTCGATTACCCAGTTCCTGTCGAGGTATTACAATTTTTTATTGAAGGTGCCTCTATGTAAAGGGTTTTCCTAAAAGAGGTTTTAGAATTTTATTTTTTAATAGAACATAAATATTATGGAATATATTCGATTCTTTTATTTTAAATGAAGAGAGACGTTCATAACTCTACTGCTAGAAATACTTTGTTATTAACCCTTTGCACTCGGATGTCCCCTCAGAGGGAACGTTGGAAGCCCAGTGAACTTTGGTAGAGATCAGACAAGATAAATTCTCTGGAGCACAACATTTTCAAAGGCGTACACTTTATCGGAGGTTTTCATTCAAGTAGCACGAACAAATAAATCAAAGTAGCGTTACAATAAATTTTATGCTACATTATTTAAGACGACGTGATTCCTCTTGGCATCTTCTGCAACAAAATGGTTTCGAGTGCAAAGGGTTAAAATCCTTAAATCGGTTTTGAAATATTTTTCATAAATAAAAAGAAAGTAAAATGTAAGGAAAGACTTACACAAACATGCAAATTTTATTCAACGACGAACGTGTCAACGAAAAAAAGTGTATAATTAACGAAAAACGGATTTGATGATATTTTTCAGGCAAGAGTAACCGCGCCGAACAGACGACATTTGTTTCTGGGCCAAGCACTTCTTTTAGGCCTCTTCCTCCTGGCAGGACTCTCAGCAGCCGCATCCCTCAGTCAAAATCCTCTATCCTGTGCAGCATTTCGACTAGTCGGTTTACCCGCCGCCCTTGTATTCGCGGCTCTTCTGGTTAAGTGCGTCTTCTTACTTTCGTTAAATAGTGGCATCTATCTACCAGCACCGTATCAAGTGAGTTTGATGATATTTCAGTACACGTATAAATCCAGGGAATGTTTCTATCAAAATTAACAACCGTAACTCGTGCTTATAGCCAGTTGTACATTCATTTCATGTGAAATATTCGATTGAAATGTAAATTTCCCTTGGTATAAATATTCTTTTAGGTTCTTTTGTAGTTGTGTATCATGTCAAACAGAGCACAAATTGACTGTTTTAATTATCGAGGTATAAACACATGAAATGTAAATGGGTGTCTGTGAATACTTTGACGCCCATTATGTTCTATATGTCTAAATATTAATAATTATAATTGTTAATTTAGTTTACTTTATAGATAGGATCGACTATCCCGATTCAATGATCTTTTTTACACACATCACTAAATTTCCACACGTACTATATACATATGTATGCTTTGCAAATGCACTACAGGTTTTGGTTATTTATTTTATTTTAAAAGATTGTTTCTGCACTTAATTTCTATTATTATTATTATTATATTTCAAAAGAAAAACCTCAAATATTATAACTAGTTATTCCTACATATTATTACCTATATTATAAACATGTACTCCATTCGACATGATATATAAATGAATGAAAACAATTCATGGGACTTATGAATGAAGCAGGTTCAGCAGTTTATTATTTAGGTTCAATCATACAACAAAGTATTAATCTGTTCCCAAAATTCCTAAAAATTAACTTGCTGTTCGTGCAATCACAATATAGCTACACGTTCTAAATTAACGGTATCCTCCTCTCTAAATTAACCTGTAGCAAAGCAATCAATTCAAGGTCTGAAGAAAGTTTCAAATCACTCGGATGGAAAAAGGGAACCGATCGATTCGAAACGTAATCGAAAGTTTCCGCGACGTCGGTGTGAATGGAACTTTATAAAACGTCCCGCAGAAACTCGTGGAACGACTCTGGCGGAGGATACAGGGGAGTTTTCTTATTTCGTTGCGTCGGAGATCCGGATGTCGATCTCGATCTATTTGTACGCGCTGGACGGGACTTGAATGAAGAGTAACGCAGTAGTAACGCCCGCTAGTAATAGCAGTAAGTGCAGCTGCCGTGGTCGTAAACTGCAGTAGGTCAAAAAAGTATTTGCACGCACAGTCTTTTTTTTTTTCGAGATAAATGCCTGTAAAAAAGTAGCACACTAATATAGTGTACGTCTATTAATGCTTTATACGCAGACACAAATATTAACTTAGAAATGCTAACAGTTTATTGATCGAAAATAGTAATACAAAGAAAATGAACATCTCACAGTGAAGAAGGTATTTGCGCACTATAGTTGGCTTAATAAATTTATAGTGCGTAAACAAAGTATTAGTACAATCATTTTCTTTGAATATTTCTAACTACATATTAACCCTTTACATTCTTAAAGTTAGCTGCAAAAAAAAAAGAAACTGTATCGGCATACCTACACTTTAATTTTAAAATACAAAACACATTTTTAATATCCCATTCATTTATCATTAATTATACCCTGTAGTTTCAAATTTAACATATTGTTTCTACGCAAGCACAAAATCACGTACAGTGAACTAATTCACTACACCTTCTAACAAGCATTCTCAAAAAACTGCGTGTAAATACTTTTCTGACTCCCCCCGGGTACATCTCGTATATACGATGAATAACGTGAATGTTTCTCGTACATCTTTTTGCCTCGCCTAACGGATTCACCAGGTGACTGTTTATCGCGCATTATTGATAGGTGTGATTGCACGCTTTAGAGGAAGCAATGATAAGAGTAAAAACCAGTTTGCACCGTGGAACAGCTTGTTAAAAAAAATATTCATCGAGCCCCTTCCGGTTTTATAATATTTTCTTATTATCTTGACGTGCGATTCAATGCTTTTTATGGCTACGTTAAGTAACCATTGGTTTATAGATAAATTGTAATGTGGAAGACGAGTGGTAATAGTGTGTCATTAATTACATACGTCGTGTTACTAATTACATTCTAACGTCGATCGAGACTTACCATTCAATTCCAATTAATCCTTTCGTTCCCACAGTAGTCATACGGCTACTTATAATTTCAAAGTAATATATTTCTGGCTTGAATTAGGTAGATTTGGTAGATTATATTCGACTTACAAATTAGGAAATTTCAATTACTTACAAAATTGGAATGGTTTTTCACGTATTATATTTTTCGAGTGTTTTTATAAATGTATTTTAAAAGTTGTTGCACAATCATTGTTACAATTTCGTTTCTTTTATAAAGATACTGTCCTTTTAATATCCTTAATCGTTTTCAAAATATTTTATTGAATTATTTCTCACCTAATATACACCAAACCAAAAGTAAATATTTCTTTGGGCAGCTTGTAAATAATTTGGGAATGAAAGAGATGATAAAAGATATCTATCAGACATTATCTATCTTAATAGTAAGTTGATGTAAATTTTTATTGCTTAAAATAATCAAATGTGGTTGTGATTATGAATATTTAAATCTATTTTAGACGTTAACCATTTTATTCTTCTCGTTGCAGGCGTTAGTATTGGGATTCGCAGTATTGGTGCAGGTAGCCATCGTTGGACAATGGTTTTACGGTGAACCACCGGCTGTGGTTCAGTTGCAAACTACAGGACAAAGCTCTTCAGCTTCCTGTTGCAAAACTCCTCTTGGGCAGATAGTGGCTTCCCTCGGGTAAACTTTTGAAATGTAAACCTTCCAGCGACACTAGTTTTTCAAACCTGAAAAATCGTTAATTTAGATGCAATTCAAAATTCAAAATTTATTCCTCTTTCTGTTAATTTGCATTTATAGTTACTCATTTTCCATTCTGAAAAAATCATACTTTTCGCGTAATAGATACTTATTATGAATTGATTATAAACATTACATTGATTCGTAATAAGATTTAGCATTAACTAATTTTGTGCACACAATGGAATTACAGCATTATACTTGCATTTACAGCAAGTGAAAATATGAGAAAATGTAGGAGGATGTTCGGTAATAAATCTAAAAATATATCAAATATCAACGATAGAATACATATTGTACTGTTTAGAGTATAAGACATACTTTCACTTCGTGAATTCTTTATCTGAATTCCCATAAATATCCGCAGTCCGATAATGTATTATAAATTTATGAGAAACATGTAGATCTGAATATCTCAATATCTGCGTGTCGGGTTCGTACGTAGCCAAAGTGTTAAGAGCATAGTCGCTTGGTTTCAGGTATCCTGGTGCACTGCTGGTTGCAGTAGCTTGTTTAGCAGTTCGAGCACGCGGTGTACGAGACAACAACCGGGAAGCAGCGTTTATTGGCCTCGCTGTTGGTTTGTCGCTGTCGATTTGGATATCCAGCGCTATCGGGTCGGTGGCTGCTTCCTCGGAGAGTGACAGAGAGGCCTGGTTAGCTTATGGTTTATTGACCACTTCCCTCCTCGTGTTCCTGACGATGTTCCTGCCGAAGGGACGGCAGTTGGCTGCCCTTGGTCGAGAAGCTCCTGATACGGTGATTCGTGATCGAGATGATGCTCTCAGCTCGCTTCCTGGCAGCGGTTACTCGCCCTCCTTCTTCCACTTCAAGCCAGCCGAAGCTTCTTTGAAGAGGAAGCTGCATTATCATAGTGCTGGTATTATATATTCATGTCACATTTGCTTATACAACCTATCTCATCTCCAGACTGAGGATCTTATACATTTATGGGATCGACTAACAGGACACTATGTCACTGTTAATCTTCTTTTATTTAATCATTTCTGCAGAGGGAAATGATCCAATAAAATATGGAGGATGTAACATTGCAAGAATATTAAAATATACCTCGCACTTGCGCAATGGTTATCGTTTTTGGCTGCTAGTTTATATAGTAATTAGTATATAAAATACAGTCTATATAAATCTTCTGTTATCTGTTTGTTTCTGTAAAGGGTAATCCTGTAATATATTTGTTAGTAATAACTTGTTAACGCGATCTTACAAACGATAGATTGAAACGATGTAGTAAATAATTAAACAAGTCTATAATTATTGCTATACAAAATCATCAGGTGACACATTCACCTGATAGGATCAGGTCATGATAGGACTGCATGGTTTAAGCTAGAACTATAACGTCGAAGTTCAAACAATTTCTGATGTGTCTAGTAGACACGTTAAAACATATTTTACTTAGCAAAGGAATTTGTCCATTCAAAAATTTGTTTAGAGACTTGAATCAACTACTACTTCTGTGACAAATAGACCAGTTGTTCAGAATTTATATCAACACTGATGGTCTGAATTCTGTCTATCCATAGCCTCGAACAGTTAGTGTCTGTAAATAATATTTTTTAAGATATGAAGCTCAACTTCATGCAACGGTGGTTTCATAATTTTCTTTTCTTTTTGTCGAACAAGTTAGTTTCACCTGCGTTTTCATGCACGCACTGTACGGTAATGGTTGCTATTATATCCTGCGTAGTATTCGTGATTCTCGTTCCATTTCGTTCATTCAGTACTCTATTAATAGACTCGCCATATCTTTTTTCATAAAGGCTAAGCAGAAAAATACAGAATCTGTTTCTACTGTTCAGTTATTATACATTTCAATTAATACAGCGAGCTACCAGAGATGGTGAAAATTGTATTGCAATAATTGATGACTTATTCATTCGATTGAACAATTATATACAGTTAATACTTTGATCTGGTCACTGTAAACTATCATATTCATTTCTATAATTCAAATTTAAATTCAAATTTTTATTTGACAAATGATAGTCTACTTTGTATTTGCTACCCGTACTGCTTATTTAGATAAGAATTTTGCCTGTCTCTTGCATCTACGCATACTACAGCGAAATATTGAAATAAAAAAGACAGTTACAAATTCAGATGTTTCATATATGTTGGATGTAATATTCACAATCAAATTGACGTTAAATTTATAGAATGAAGTTATTTAGTCGATATTCCTCGCGTATAATGCGAAGGAAATGTTTATGCAAATAGCTTGTAGCGTTATGGAAATATTACTATTTCTAATGTTGTGTTAACTGTATCGATGCTCTTTGAATTATAGATCGTGTGGCATTAGTTTCATCCGCTATACCTGGATGTACTGCCTGCAGGCACGGTGGAAGCCCCATATATTCCGACGGTGAGACTTTTCAGAAATTAGTTAGTTATTAAATACCGGTATTATCGATTACAATAACTTAAAGTGCACGCTGAAGTATTTATAGACACGCCAGGTTTAACGTTTCCTGAACCAATGGCGGAAATTCAATGAAGCATTCCATGGATTTAGATTTACTTAATAGCCGATCGCTCATTTTACGAGTTATTAACAAACATGAATATGTCGTAATCATTTTCTACGAATCACTTTAATAGTAGCCACAGTAAGAAAATAATTATTTCAATTGAACACTATTTCCATAAATATGATATAATATCGATTTATTGAAATTCGAAATTCATTAGTTAATATGTGTTATATAGTATAATATAAATTAATATATATTAATTATTATACATGAATTAGTACTTACGTAATACGTTGAAATTGTTACATCATTTATAGTATACAAATTATGATAATTACGTAATATAATATGAATGAATATATATTAATTATATTACATTAATTATTACGTTACTTCACTTGTATACTATAAACGATATACCAATTTCTACATATGTAAATACTATTTTTACGTCCCTACTTATACTAATCTCCCTTGTACTATCGTACAGTACAAAAGAGGTCTATTTATAGTCTTCTCATAATTAAAATAATCATTTCGTAAGACAGAAAACACAAATTAACCGATACTGCATAAACCAAATGATGAAAATATATTTAATCGTCATAAACAAAGAATCTGACAAGAATTCTTTCCTCCATTTGCATCCTTGAGTGATTATCTAGGAACTAGGAATATTTATTAATTGTTATAATTCGTAACAGAGGCAAACGAGTTTTTTTATTTAAAGAAAAAGAAATATTATGAAGAAAAAACATAAAGTAAACGTGGTAAAGAGGACAAGAGGGTGATGATCTTCGTTCGTAGAACTCACCCCGGTAATCAAACCGACACTTTGATCCAACCATAGTGTCGAAGGATAGATAAAAATGACACGCTTCGTAAAGTCGTCCAGGAAATTCTTGGGTTCGTTTACTCGGTGTATTCCCCTACCAAGTTTTTCCTCCGTTACGGCGTCGCCTCTGGCGACCTTCACCTCCAGGAACGAACGAAAGGGAGGAAAAACCTCGTGGTGGAAAGGTTGGAGAGGGAGAAAGTTTCGAGGCGGAGGTCAAGCGCTTCTTGGAGAATTAAACTGGAAGGGGAAATGAATCCCGTTAGATCAGACGACGCTAGTTAATCGGTGTCCTCTTGTCGGTGAATGATCGAACCCTTTTTACGAGCAGAGATATGAATTTTGTGTACCCTTTGAAACGAATATGGATACCCTATATTCTTCATATTTTCTGGTCCTTCTGTATCTTTGAAATATTTTATTTTTTTACAACAACTAGTTTTCTTTCTATTAACCTGTTACAAATAATTGCTGTGGCAAAACGAAATCGAAAATAACGAAAAAAATTGGAACTTGGTCGATAGACTTAGAAAATATTGGAAAAATGAGAATAGTTTACATAGGTTGTAACGTTGACAATATGCACAGAGCGATACGAAGTTTATTAATTTTACGCTTGGAGTGGGTATAATTTGAAACTTCGATTGAAACCATAACGAAAACCTGCTCCGTTTTTATTGGAAGATAACTGTAAAGTTTCACAACTTTACGATCGGTCAGTTCCAAATAATATAAGTACCGTTGCAGGTAAATACCTTCCATTCAGTTTTATTAGCACTGTAGATAGTTAATGATTAATTGATTATAAATGTGATAATATATTTTTTTTGTGAACTTGTAGATAAACTATAAAGAGACGATTTAGGAATTTGTAGTACACATTCAAAGAAATCGAAAGACTTAATAGACATGTTTAGAAAGTAATAATCTTTGAAGATACTCAGGTTTTCAATTTCTTTGATCTACTTTTTGAATGGCTACTCATGCTATGGGTCACGTAAAATATTGCTCATAAGAAATGCTCAAATGCACGCTATTTCTCACTGTTCATGTAAGTAGAATTTGGGTCACCTTCAGAATTGTATATCATACAATAAGACATGTGCAGCATAAAATATAATATAATATAATGTGAATTAATTTAGACAAGTTATATTTTTACTATTCAGCTGAACAGTATGAGCGTAATTTGTTTCAGTTATCAAAGAACTACCAATTTAATTCACACATACCTATTAAAAATGAAAAACAACAAAATTAATTCGTGAATTTTTAAATACAATATAAAATGATTAGACTCTCGTTTTATGAGAATAATTTAAAATTAAAGTAAATATAATGGGATAATGAAGACTAAGAAATCAGAATGTGTTACCTTCTTACATTATAATATACACATTAATTTTAAACTGTTCCTCACATTGTATAAATTTTACTTTAAGCTATATCCTATCGTGCGTTATACAATTCTGAAAGCAAACCAAACCAGTAAGTAGTCAGAAGCGTTGAATAAACATTTTCTTAATAAGTCTGTCAATCTTCATTTCTATTCACAAATTGGTTCTATGCAAATACAGTGACAATTACCTTTTTTTTTTAAATGCACAGTGCATCGAACAACCATGTTAACTTCGTATTATGTCTTCTTACCGTAATGTCCATTATTGCGAGTAGGGCGTGGAGTATACTACAAATTGCGAGGCAAAGGTCATCAGCCTGCCAGGCATAAACCATCCGCTCGTTTATGACACCGGTCGTGGTAATCATAATTTTCATCCACGTCACTTTAGGGCTATAACATCAACTACATAAATCAGATGTTTTTCTATCAAACGTTCTGTCGCAATCTTGTTTCAAATATCCAATTTCTTTTTAATTGTTCACGGTGTATATCGGTAATTATACCGCAACCAGGAAGCAGACGATTCTTCATGCAAAAACAAACTGAGAACGTAGAATAACATTTTTTCGTATGACTTTCATAATGGAAAAAAAACAATATTGATAGTCTGTAGGGTATGGGAACTAATTACAGGGCTCGTTAAATAACAAGCCTTGATCACTACTCTATTTGCTGTAGAGTGACCTCAATTTTGAAGAATTTTGTTAATAAAATTAATTTTAGATTAGCTAAGTCACTATGTGATTGGAAATTTTGCATAAATTTTTTTCTTTCTTTTATATATTTTTCTTGTAATTTATTTCTTTTCGATTAATTTACGTTACGTAATGATTGTTTTATTTGTTGGACTTGTTCATTAAACTATAACAGCACTAACACAGAATTCATGATTATGTACATTATGTATAGTATAGTAGTTCCATTTAGTTTCTCATCGGTTACGAGAATAAGCTTCCTCTTAGTGGAAGTTATTGGCCCGTTTCATCCAGTTTTTATCACCTCTTCCTAGCGAATCGATTTCAAAGATAATAAAATTACTCGTCCGTTGCAAGAAACTTTCGAATAATTATAAGGTTGTGAAAAGTGTGACAGGTGTGACCCACTTTAAATCGCGGCTAGGTTTGCCGAGTAATTGTGCTGCTCGTTAATGGGAACTTTGTCCTGATGTTTCATACACAATTTAACAATTATCTGTGAAGTTTTTAACTGTTATAAAACGCCAGGTCACAGATAAATTACCCATACATGTAATGTGAATATGTATATTTTCTGTGTTCATTCTAACTAAAATCCTATTTATTTTTATTAAGAGTAATCGTATTCATTCGTGTAAAAATTGATTAATACTTAATTAGTTTCTTTTTCTTTTTTTTTTTGTTAATTAGTTTCAACATGTAATAAATTGTTACTCATTTATCAATGTGCATTAATTCATTGCAGAAAAAAAAGTCATCGTGTACAAATAATGCATTTACAAATTATGTAACAGTTTAAGTATTGACGTTTATTACGTAAATTGCATTGTTTTTATTTACCAAGGACCATATCAATTTTCCAAATTATGAAGACTACTTTCCGCTACTGTTCTAGCTATGACAGCATATCAAACTATTTAACACGTTGACTGCCACACTAATACTCTTAAAAGTTTCTACTGCGATGAAATTTTATTTACTGACCATTGGAGACTACGTAATCAAACATTTGTTGTGGTATTTATTTTTGTAACATCACCGAAATTCAAATAATTCATATAAATTCATTTTCTTTGATATTTGACTTTCAAAATTAATTTTTTTATTTCTTCAGTAAAAAGCACTGTCACCCATATATGGGTGACATGGCGTTCAACGTGTTAATAGAGTCAACGACAATAATAAAGTACTAAGTTCCGCAACGAATGCGATTAATAATGAAACATGTGTCTTTTGCAGATGTTCATGGGCCGATGGAAACATTTGTTTTGCCACACGGCATGTACTTGAGGCCGGAAGACGCAGGAAACCTATACACAACACTATCAGCGAACCCGAATGTATTTTTCCAACGTGCGGCTCATCCAGGGATGATGTACTGATAACATCCCCGGAAACTCTTTCACGCAATCGTCTGCGGATTTGATTAGAGAACTCCCTATGTTCTTAGATTAGATAGCCACAACACAATGGACTACGTTTTCCCCGTTTGTTCACTTTGTTATTGTAAATAATAATACAAGCTGGTGTCGCTAGAGTGTCGTTAACGTTTCTTTGTAGAAGCGGTGCTCGGTTATTTTGATAAAAAATCAAACGATAGCAGCCGGATGCGAATTACGCGAACAATTTTTAATAAAGGTACGACATTTTTTTATAATCCTTATTTTTCTTTCCATCACTTGTATACATTCGTCTCTTTTTTTCACCGTATACTAAATTAAGATTTTAACAGAAATTGAGCAACATTTGTTAGAGGATATCCTATATTTTGCACAATTGAATGATAAGAATTGTTCGCCCCTTTTTGCGCCATTTATTTATTATCTGTATTGATAAATCCATTTAAATTCATTGATTGCGATTTCAGTTAAAGTGCATTCAGTTCTGAAACGTACACCATGGTATATACGTGATATATTTTAATCTTTGTGATTTCTGGTTAACATTGGTGGCACGAATATTATTAGAAGAAACAATAAGTGTTTATTTTTACAATAGTAAATTACAGTAAAATATTTCTGTTAAAATTGAATAGCAAAATTACATAAAACCCTTTCATTTTCATCTTATTAAAAATTAATTGAGAAAAATATTAGTTATAAGAAATTAATACATATTTTCAGATTTGAATATACGAATAATAGTAATAATTTATTTAATACTTTTAAATATGTAACTATATGGTTGCAAGTGGGAATGAAAGGCTTAGGAAATTGATTAGGGCGCTTTTCGTACCCACTACTTCACTATCTAGGAAATGATTACACATTCGTGTGGTGTTTGTTTGACAGCAAGCGACAAATTGCTCCGTTGACGTCACGTGGCGAACTTAGATGGTGGGGGAGATAAAATTTCTCCGCAGCTGTCAATAGTATGGTTCTTTAAATAGCTGGTTTGATGTACGGTAAAACGAGAAACCTCGTGGTTTTCGTGAATTACCCAGTGAATCAATTAAAAATAATTCTTCAATGAACATTTACGTCCGTCAAATCATTCAGCCACCCGTTGGCATTACGAACAATATTTCTTAACCTCAAAAATGTGTTGGCAAACACTTTGCACAGTCACCGTAATATAACCTGTCCTCAAATACTAATATAGTTGCGTAAATATTTGGGTGAAATTACTTTACAAAACACACGACAGTTACTTAAAAATGGCTGACAGATTGGAACATCTCAGGTAAGTAATAGTATTATTGTATTTCTTTTTTTCTTTCACCATATGTCCGTTTTAATCAATATTTTTTGAGTAATTTGAAACGAATTTTCATCTTGGTACTGTATGTTTTAAACATGAATGATGAATTAAAAGTTTACTGACAGGTAGAAAGTTCTATTCTGTTTGGTACTAATTTTAATTTTATTTGTCACTTATATTTCGTAGTTGATTGTATACCCTTTTATTAATAAATATTTATTATTTATTTTAGGATTTACTTTGTCACATGGAATGTGGCGACTAAATATCCGGAACAAAATTTATATCAACTTCTCGATGTTACTCATAGTAATTCATCGAGGACATTACCAGATTTATACTTCATTGGGTACTTATAAAATATTACCATTTTTAATTATGTGGGAAACTGTTGAACTTATCAGTAATGTTAGATTGCAGGAAGTGAAAGCTCAACCACAGAATATGGTTTTAGATATGTTCTTTGAAGATCCATGGACTAAGTCTTTTAGGTGAGCATATTAAACAGTTTAAAATGTTATGGAGACAAGTTTAATTCTATATGAAAATATGGATATAATTATTCTATATTGAAACAAATTATCATATATGAAATATTTGTAGAGAAATATTGAAACAGTATGATTATGTAAAAATACGTACGCAGCGTTTACAAGGCCTTGTTTTAAATGGTTTTTGCTTAAGGAAACACATTACACACTTAAGATCGATAGAAGCCCAGTATACAAAAACAGGGTTCAAAGGCATGTGGGTAAGAGGATATTTTAATTGTACGACGCAGTTGGTAATTTTTTAAATGAGAATCATGTTTTTTTCAGGGCAACAAAGGAGCAGTCAGTATAAGATTAAATATATATGGAGTCAGTATGTGTATCGTAAACACGCACTTAACACCTCATGATCATTTACTGGCAGACAGAATAATAGACTATAATACGATACTCACAAATCATAGCTTTACTTGTTCAGATACTTCAAAAATATTATATCACGAGTGCGTATATTAATTAAAATTAATTTTTATAATAAAAAGTGATATAGTTATAGGTATATTCTAATAATAACATTTTATGCAGCTATGTATTTTGGATTGGAGATTTAAATTTTCGATTAATTGAAAACGATTTATCTGCTACCGAAATCGATTTAATGGTTAAAAGAAATCAATTAAAATGCTTGCTGGAAAAAGATCAGCTGAAATCTGTGATGAAGAATGGCGAAGCGTTTGCCGAGTTGAATGAAAATGCTATTACATTTCCTCCAACTTACAAATATGAATTTGCATCGCAGGAATTTGATCTCAAGTATAATCTCTTTATTTGTATGATACTTTTTTTTTAACATTCGTTGTTTTTACTAAAAATTTGTCAAGCAGGCGTAGACCTTCTTGGACTGATAGAATTTTGTACAAAGTAAATGCAGATGTTTACGATGATGTAAAACTTAACGCTATTCAGCAGAATTATAAAAGTCATTCCAATTATATACAATCAGACCATAAACCTGTCACAGGAGAGTTTGATATTGTTGTAAGATACTTTTTGTAGAATTTAAAAAAAATTTTAATGCATTATAATACCTTCTTTCATTAAACAAATATAATGATACGATTTGTAGGTTAGGCCTGGAGTGCCGGATCATGGTGTAGAGTTCCAACCCGTATCACAATGGTTCATAGACGAAGAAAATTCTGTATCGTATAGATTGTTAGGAGATGCTAAACGTGCTAGTGGTGACTGGGTAGGCCTTTTTCATAATGAATTTTCTAGCTTGGATGAATATATCGTCTATGAGTATGTAGGTCGAGGTAAGAGTTTTTTCAGTACAACTTTATACATATTTATCGAGTTACATTTTAGATATGGCCCAATCATATTGGTGAGTGTATAATAAAAATTGTATCTTAGGTAAAGCGTCTCCGATTCCTTTTGAACCCCACGCGATCACGGAACGAATTTATTTTAGCGATACGGCTATTCGTGCACCCGGAATATATCGCTTGGTTTATGTTGCTCAAGAGGGGAATTTGGTTGGAATTTTAGGCGTTAGTCCACCATTCCCAGGATATCACAGACTTGGCTGATTAATTTTTTTTATTTATCGACTGTTAATGTATATGTTACAAATAAGCCGATGCACTTGCTATATGTGTTTAATTGTCAAATTCACATAAGAATTGAGACACTATGATGGAGTCGCTGTAAATTACTTTCGTTGAATTTTTTACTCTTTGAGGTCCAACATTTTTTAACACTTTATTGCGATGTTTATTCGCAAAGAGATGGGGCAATATTTTATATTTAGGTTTACAGTATATTTTACTTCGAAATTGGTAAAAGAATCTATTACGTGTCCTTAATGTTTCAAATTGTTACATTTCAGTAATGAAAATAAAATAATATGTATATGTATGTATATAGATATACATATATCATACATCAGAGGACCACAAAGGGATTAGATACGATACTGTTTAATAGCATAATGAGTTACCAAGATTGAAAACGTAAATGTAAGGGATTTGAAATTGCGACTACTAAACTGAAATAAGAATTGTAGTTGATACTGTATCGTTCGGTAAATAACGTACATTTCCCAAAATAGTTCATTTTTTTTTATATTAAAAAGATTTGCTAATTAATTAATTTAAACTAATATGCGAATAACAAGCTTCTTCGCATATACGAGATTGATCAAACTGATTACATTCCTCAATTCTGAAAGTGCAATATTTACTGAATCGTACAGTAACATTGTATTAGACAGGAGAAACAAACTAATTTACGAATGTCATGTAAGAACCAGTTTCTTTGTCAGTGCTCGAATGTTACTTTTGGTACCTGGTTTTTCCTGTCGGGCTATTGCCCAAAGGCACTAGTGCTTAAATGTCTTACGCTTCGGAGCTTATTAGAGAGTGCTGAAATAATTTTATGCACCTGACGTACGACTGCTATCGTAGATGAGAATCGTTACCTTAAATACCTTCGATTGGTTTAGCAAATCGTTACGACGGTTTGGTTGTACAAATCCGCGGCTATTTTATTTTTATAGTGCGATAGAAACGCAAAAAAACGAACAAATATACACTGTGGTATAAAAGGGTATGCAAATAAAGAATAATATTTTTTACTCGGTAGATGAATTATTTAATCCTGCGTCGAAAAAGAAAAATATTTACAAGAAAACGTTTATTCGATAAGTTAGTTTTATACAAATAACTTAGGAGCTTTACAATAAATAAAACGTACACTCTTCTTGTGATACTACAGGACACCATATCTTGTCTGTAATTGTGAGTAATAATTTATAAATAATATAAATAAATAATACAAAATTACTATAACATATGGCCGCTATACAATATTAGCGTACAAACAATATGGCTTTAAAACTAATATAAAGTTATTCGAACATTTTATTGAGTAAAATACGAAAATGTTTATATACAAGATAACATTCTGGTTTTTAGCCAAAATATTGTAGTATGCTATGTTATGTATTTTATTGGAAGTACGACTTTCGGTAAGTTATTATATATACATGACTTGTACATGCGACTTTATGTAAATTATGGATGAAAAATGAAGGAAGTAATACTACGTGATTTTTGAACTAATGATATCTCATGTACTCGAGAAGATAATTTTGTACATAGAAGTCGTGAAAAATGCTTTAATATTACTTGCAGGATTCGTAGAACGTAAATGTTCGATGTAAGGTCACAACACATCCTATCCTGTTTCTCACTATTACGCAATAGGTATACAGACATCACGACTTGCACATCCAATTGTAAAACGAGTTGCAGACATTTTTATGTAACAAGCATTTCCAAGAATTATGTTCTTTTTGTCCGAAAACACTAATGACTTTGTAAAACAGCATAGATTAATTTTAAACGCAGTTTCGAGTCTGGTAGACCAGTACCCTAAGTTGATTTACATAATCGAATTTGGG